ATTGAGGAATTTTTCTTCAAATGTTTGGCGTGTTCTGTTCCTGAAAGATTTACTAATATTCTGGAGATTTTTTTCAAGTTCTTCGGCCTTTTCCTTAGGGAAATTTTGTTTCTTATTTGCTGCTAAAAAATGGCGTCTGATTCTGTCAATGATTTCGATGGAACTAAATGAAAACTTGATAAATTAATGTCTGATATTTACAGGCTCCCGCTAGACGGCGTACTCGAGCGTTGCGATCGCGAATTATTATTTGTCTGCAAATAATACTGTCATAAATTGCTGTTAAAGAGATCTGTTAAATGATTTAGAACTAAACGATTAGCTTCATGCTCAATGAGATGCAAGAAAAAATAGTATTTAATAAATCGGCCCGCTTGGTAAGTGGAAATTACGATTGTGAACTCATCCAATTTGTTTGAACACTGTAATGTTATAGCAAAATAAATGTTATTTTAAAAAAGGATTACTTAGAAAAATTAATTCTGTTCACCAATAGATCTAAATATTTATAATACCAAAAGATAATAATATTTGGACGGATTGGAAGTGAGGGCACAAGCGTATAAGCAAATAGAATTCCTTTTAGTACATACATGCTAAGTGAATAATTTTAACTTGAGCAAAAAAAAGCCGATTTTTGCCACGAAACAACAATTATTGTGAAACAATCATCGGTGTTGGTGAGCGGCAGCGTACAGGGGGCTTAGCTCCCTAGTACTATTAATGTGGGAAATAATTTCTATTTTGAGGATATATTATATTCACACATTATACTCTTTCCTATATTAAGGAAACTAAACGCGTAGTGGGAGTGTACCAGTGAGGGGGGGGGGGCTGAAAGAAGAGCTCCGAAATTCACGCCTCGTTGACAATCAGGGAAGGGGCTGCAATCGATGACGCAGTCGATCTATGACGTCATACGTCTGGTGATCTCAGGTTTTTCAGTCAGTACACATTAAAGTATCTAAAATCCATCTAAAGCGAATAACTTTCTAGCTTTGTCGATTCTTCGTTTACAAAAAATTTAAATCGCTTCGATTTTGCTACCATACATTTTAGATTCCTAGTTTCTGATTTTAAATCATTCGAAAATTACAAATAACTCTTGAAATAAGCTTTTACATCATTGTGGCTAACAATTAATAGGTGGCCCGAATAGAAAATAGCTATTCTAATAAAAAAATCATGCAATCAAAAAAAAAATTAATATGCAGCTTTAAACTTGAATCGTTTTGTTAAATTAAATTTGGAGTCAGGAAATGATGAAGGCAAGTGTTTCAAATCCGTGATTCCAAAAAGTGTTCCGTGGAAAAGTAATAGATGTTCCAAGAGTTGAGATTTATTTTTAAACCAGTAATGATTTTTGAAATCTGCCATTTAGATCGAATCAGTAATCCATTATTTATTTAGGATTTAGATATTTTTTATAAAATTATTTAAATTAAATTCTAGCCTAAAAAAACTGTAATATTTAAAATAAATATATACATTTTTCTAATAATATTGTAGAACCAGTTCTTTTCGGTTCCAAGTCGCTTTCCGGTTATGGAAGTCTAAATAATTGGCCTTCTTTTGGCAGAAACTTGATAATAATTTATCATAAATAAAGTTCGTCTTAAATTGCTAAGTATTTAATAGACAAATCAACTAAAGAAAATTTCTAACAATTTTGAAAATATTTAATATGGAGAAAACGAAATTTTCGACCTTTTTATCAATAATAATCTTAAAATTAGATCTTGTATCAGACAGTTGAATTCGTGGGTCAAGAGCGGCATCTTGACTTATAGTACTGAATTTGTTTTTTATTGCATGCATAAACTAAATTAAATGAAAAGAGGGTTTTTCGTTAAAACTAAAAAGTACTCTACTATAAATATTAAAAAGGTTATGCGAGAGACATACTGTTGAATTTAGTTATCTTTATTTTGAATTGAAAATTTAGATGGGAAATACAATTTTACGAATGCATAATAAAATCAAAATATTCTTATAAAAAAATAGTTATAATTTTTTTTTTAAATGTGCTGTCTCTTATTTCATAGCCATTGTACAAAAATAATTTCGCAAAAATTACTAAAATATTTAATGAATAATGGATTATTGTTTGATATA